AAAAAAACTTTTTATAAAAATTACTATTACTATTATTATTACCATTGACGACGACGCCGCGCGGAAAAAAAACTTTTTTCAGAAAATCACTATTACTATTATTCTCCGTCCCGTCCCGCGCCCTATCCTTATACGTATATATATACCTCGGTAGACGCCGTCACCCTGTTCCCTGGGAGACGGACGACACCGTCCTCGACCACTATACTACTGGACAGAGTCTGTCGCGCGCGCGAGGCCGCACCTGTATTTATACGCGTTCGCGCGCATTATCTCTGACCCCACTCTATAAAATAATAATATGTTTAAACGAATGCTTTTTTTCGCGAACCGTACTACGTATGTATATATAATTATTATGTATGTATTATATACTTATAATGTCAAATAACAAAAAAACTCGATTTGACATAAATACCATAGGTTTTATTTAATTATATAAAATTACAATATATCGGTAGTATCGAAAAATAAATCACGTTTGTTTTTTTTGTAAACGTCCGAATGTAACATCGCGCTTATTTCGATCATGTTCGACCGCACTCCGATATCTGAAGCTAGATTCATGGATTGCATGGCTCTCGATCCCTCGTTCACGAATATTTCGTTTTGCATCTTGTTCAACAGGGTTTTTGGCCGTTCACTGGTGTACGCGATCAGCGGTCCGTGTGTTTTCGAAGACATGTTCGATAAATTGGTGCTGTCGATGAACAGACAAGCCTCACAAATGTAAATGTTTAAAATTTTAAAATCGTTATAAGTTTTAGGATCGAACGTATTTTGATTAGTCGCATAGCAGTACATAAATTTTATAAAATTACTGATAAACAACAATACGTTATATTTGAAAAAAGCCAATTCGGACGAAAATATCAGACTGCATTTAGACTTTGAATCGTAATAATCTAACAAAGCTTCTTGTTTTAACGAATTACTGCGTTTAGTCGTTTTATAAACATAAGACTCGTACACGTTTGAAGCTATTTCGAACACTACTACTTCGTGATATAGTATTACCAAAAAATTTATATCGTTACTTTTTTCAAAATTTAAATTGTCCATAGTGGCTCGATTTTTAGTACACACAAACCGACCTTCGTCGGTTTTAATAAACGTGTACGAGTTCTCGGATTCGTAAAAATCGTCTACGTCCGATTCGACGTCTCGCGTCAAACAGAATTTATAAGCACGATTCGTCGCGTTCACGGTACGTTTATCAAAAGCTATTATTTTATACGCGTACACAGATTCGGTTTCTTTTATTTTCAATATATTTGCAAACCGTTGATATTCCACAATGAAAAAAGATTCGGTCACAGCGTCGTCCTCGGCTTGAGATTTATAAAACCTAAAAACACACACACACACTTCCATTTTAAAACATTGTTAATATACAAAAATAATATTACATACCATCTCAACCATATGTATTCGTGATCGTTGAACAATATGTTTGGTTTTATTTTCGGTATTTTCCGACCCGTACATTTGTGCTTTTTCTCCTTTTGAAAATGCTTCACGTCCAAAGACTGTTGTATTATTTCGGCTGTCGTATACGATACCAGATCTATGCCCAACGATCGGGGTTCTATGTCCATAAAAGCCGATTCGCAAGACAATAGTTTATCGATAACGTCTCGCGATTTCTTTCGATTTTTATTAAACAATTCTAGACATTCCGACAGACTCATGAATTTGCATCCCAACATGTAACCGGCCAAAGCTCTGGCTTGTGGACGTATAGTAATATCACGATTATAAGTTTCTATTATGCACGATGCGAGGCAATCGATATCGTCGGCCATAGTTGATTTTGTATTCGATAGACGTGACTGTTCCATAATGCAATATCACGTGTACGTCGTCCACAAACACGAATCTAGAGTCTTTGGGGTCTTTCAACAATCGTTGTTCGTCGTGTATATGAGACAAAAAACTCAAATAATACGTTAAATACGCATTAGCTTGTTGCGAATGTACTATAAAATCCGGAACGACTTGTACGTTGTCCATAGCATTCGACGTACGAACTACTACTGATGATCCGCCATTGGATTTCGTCTATTTAATCGAAATCAAACGAATCGTTGTTATTGTCGTCCATTCTGAACAAAAACAATTCTGTAGAGTTTATAAATTTATCTACGTTCGCGCCTGGTTTTAGACCACCGAGTACGAGTTCGACAGAACTATTGCTCATGATTTCATCAGCACTACTACCGCCGAAGATGGATTTATCGTTTTCCACCGTATCGACATTGTTGGAATCATCTAGAAAAAAATCGTCGTCGTCGTCATCATCACCGGCGTCATTACCGATCGTTATTATATCACCATCGTCTGCGAGTTTCGCCGCCGTAGTGTCGTAATTTAATGGATCTATAGGATGGCATTGCGATGCCGAATGAGACGGACTTATACTCAAAACTGAAAGATTGTCATCGTTATTGTTATTATTACCGTTGTCGCAATCATCGTCGTCTATCCGATCGACGTTCGTGTAATTGATTGTATTTTCTACAAATTCGTGAACACGATCAGTGGTCGCATCGTAGTGTTTATAACGTTTATCGTTTATGTTCGAACGATCAGTGTCTGTGATTTTTCGTTTCGCGCACGGAGATTTCGCCGATGCCCGTGATACGGACGATGCGACCGTTGATTGTGGGATTATTAACGATTCGTCGGTTTTGTTTGCAGCGCGTTGTGTTTTTTCTACAAAAGTGCGTGAAAATGAATCGGAAAACCGTTTGGGCGAATCGATTGAGTTTACCGATGGGATTTTTTTTTGTGTTTGATTCACGGTTTCCGGTATTTTGATTTTTTCACGGAACTCCGAACCACTGGTCGTGGTATCGGCCACTACCGTGTGCACCTACGTCGTTTAATATTTTTTCCAAACTGTCCAACGACAATCCCATAGCACCGGTGATTATGTTTTTCGCTACCGTAAATATTATATTATGTTTTTTAAAACCACCCGAACCGGAAGACGATTCCAAACAAGCGATTTCGTCACTTTCGACGGTGATTTTGAGGTTTTCCGGTTTGATGTACGCACATATACTCGGATATTTTGTTTTAAACGTGTTGACGCCCAACTGTAAAACGTTTTTTGCGATAAATTTCGATATCAGTATCGGTAAATATCGAGTTTGGAACGAACTGTTGATGTTTACCAATTCACGTAATTCCGATACTTGTAAATTATCTATTTTAATTTGTTTTAATATAGGCGACTTTTCGCAAGCGGCGTACAAAGCGGCTCTGGCAAACGCATCGTCCATGGTGTGCGGTGATGGTGTTCTATACTATTTTAAAATGATTTTACGTATATTTTTAATTGTAATTTTGATTTTGATTTCGTTTGTATTGTTGTACTTGAGATTCGACTCCGGTGTAGAGCAATCGATAGAGGAAAACGCAAAACGTCTACTGGAAAACGATGGAACGGTCAGTCTGCTAAACGGTTCGGGCATAAATAACATACCGGCATTAAATGTAATCACTACGAACGCGGCTGTGAATTTCGCTAATCGGTGTGGAAAAAAACCGATATTTTACGGAATGTCCGGAACCGACAACGACTGTCGTAGAATGTGCGACAACGATACAGCGCACGTGTTGACGATCACCGACGATAGTACGGTGTATTTCGAAAACGCTAAACTGGAATCTGGCGCGTATTGTTCTATCGGACGACGGCCCGAATGCAATGTAAAGACCACGTCCGTTCTGATGACCGTCAATTCGGTGACGTGCCGTTCTAAATACCCTCGGTTATTTGGCGGTGTTACGGGAAACGAAGTGATAGCGTGCAACGATTCCGTCATTAACGATCCGTTAAACGTTTTATGGGATTACCGAAACAACGTACGAGTGAACGCGGAGACCGTAGAAATCGACACCGACGACGAGTTACTGAATACCGACGAATACAGGTTTAGATGCCAGTACATGGGCAAAGATTCGAACGAAAACAATTTTATAGAGAACCCGTACGATCGATTCCATCCGATGCGCAATTATTGTTCGGAATACATTTACGGAGCGCACCCTTCGATCCGAACGGTCGTCGACACAGAAAAAGGAACCATGTATTGCGATTGCGGTGATTACAACGTGACCCGCGTGCGCAATATCAATCCCGATGATAGATCGACGAGGTGTTCGGATAAAACGTACGAGAGGTTGACTCTATTACCAAATCAAACGAGCGTAAAAATACCGTATCGGTGTTTCAACGTCAATTCTTCAATAGAGGACGTAGGGCGGTATATGCCTTGTCCACCGGATCAATTTACCAGAAACGGGAGTCGTATGGCAAGCGTTACCGTAGTCTACAGTAAACTCGATTCGGTGCCAATAGAACATCCGTATTACAAGGATTTTGATTTTAAAGACGTGATGCTAGGAGACGTAAAAGGATTACAATTTGTAGATTAACATACACACACAAACGGTTTATTTAAAAAAATACAAAATCATCGTCGTCGTCGTCATCGTAACTAGTACAAATTTTATGATCGCGTGCCCCGTGTTTGACACCGCAGTCGTCGCGTGTCGCTGATACAACCATGCTCCGACACTCGTTATCCATAAAATGAATAGGTTTTGCATCCAATAATGAATCCCGGTCACGCGTCTGTATATAATAAAAAAATATTATAATTTACTATGCAATATGATATATATATATATGTTAACAACACACTGTAATTACGGAACCGTTCAGTTTTAGATATTTTTTTAAATTGACTCGATAATCTAAATTCATAATATTGTGTTTTTTCGACACTGACTCCTTGTCGTCGGTAAACGACAATTTACGTTTGATTTTTTCCAATCCACCAGGCGGCGCCAACGCAAAACGATTTTCGTAGTCTATACAATTTTTCAGACAATCGTCCAACGTAACAGCTATAGACCAATTGTACAGGGCCAGAGCGGTCGTAGGTTTTTGGTAATTTGCCAGAGGTCCGTCTCGGCACACGTGCACTATGGTTTTTATGTAATTGTGCGCTACGTTTTTCAATCTCGGTATTTCGACCGGCAACATGACGCCCAAAGAAATATAAACGTAATACGCACGAACAATACCATACAACTCGGTTTTTAAACATTTAAAATCTCGCAATTTTCCAGTTTCGTACGGTTTTTTCATTTGTTTCACGTTGCCTTTATTCCGAAATCCGGAAAGCAATACCAATGTAACGATTTCAAAAATACGATTTATCCAAACGGTTTTATCCAAGCCCTCGCCGTCGTTGTCGCCGACACCTGCTATGGTACAATCTAATAGATCCATTTCATAGCCGTTCACCATAGCCAATTCATCGGGTCTTATGCACGTAAAAAAACCGGTAATCATACTGGGCGTCAACAGAGGATCCGTAAAATCGGTACCGCACATGGCGCAGAACGTACGAAACACTAATTTGGAAAATTTTAAGCGATTCACAGTGTCGTCAAATCCGTATATACGCATCGGTTTGTTATTGCTCTCGCATTCGATCCAGGCACACGAATCGTACACTTCTACGCATTTATCGTAATCGTCGTTTTGATCGATCACGTTTGTATAAGCGTCCGCTACGGGGTACGCTCGTTTTACAACTGATGCTTTACCGGTAACAATGGGCGCATGTCCATATAATATCGACAACATGTCGCTGTCTTTTGTGAAAAAAACGTTGAGATTTGTCGATTTGTCCCGTTGTAAATACATTTGTAGTTCACCTTCACCGGCCGTCAACTGGATCACTCGGTAGCCTTCGCGTTCGCAAGCCTCTTTAAACGTGTCTCGGATCAAACTCACGTCCACGTCGAATTCTTGGTTTCGTTTTTCTTTGTTTTGCACACGCTTACCGTCCATGTACACGTATACAGTGTCGAACGTTTTACCGAAATACGATTGCAATACGTTTACGCGATTCCGTAAATACTTTACACCGTCGCGAGCGATCGCTTCTTCGGCATTCCGTTGTGTTTTATTATAGTCCGTCATACCCTTACTCTTTCCGGCACAGGGGTCTGAATTTTTTTTATACCTATGCTGCATAACATAATTGCATAAAATAAACGTATTATTATACATCTATTCAATTAATTTAAAATGTAATATTATTTTTATTTTATTTATACCCAATAAAATTCCAATTATAAGCCTGCATGGTGGAATACGCCTATCCACCTATAATAACTTTTTATCAAACATTAAATTTTTCACAAGTTTGTATTAGTTTAACAAAATAATATTTGATTTTATACTGAATCAATATTCTAAAACGGTGTCTG